AGCTATGTGATCGCAGTTTGAAGAATATGTGTCTATTCGAAACAGAAAGTACTTCTTTTGCTTGTTTTCCCGAGTCCCATCACCTTGATGAAAAATATCTTTACCAATAATTTATGTTTATACTGTTGCAATATGGTGTTACCTGAGTCCTCTCGGTCTGCCGATATTTATTGGTAAGTCCATGAATGTATTGATAAGCAAGGGATTCGCCAGAACTTCTTTTATTGATGGTCTTTTGTCTGGTTCACGATTTAAAAGACTAGTCACCAGGTCTTTAATCTCATTACTATAGGTTCCAGTCATTGGAGGTACAGCGCCTGTCAAGATCTTCTTTACTAACGCTGGTAAATTCTGAAAGAAACGACATAATATAAATGTGAAGCCAGAAACTGTGAAGTCAGCAAAAATAAATATTACTTTGTAACACAAAACTGTATAGATCCTTTTAGATTAGAAAGATTTTGTAAAATAATGTTCCCCGCTTTTTAGGGAAATATTTTTACTTTTTCAGGTCAGTGGCGCAGCTGAGCATTGACAAGTCCTGCTCTGAGACTCGCATATTCTAGGGAGGTCCGAGGGTGCTCCCCCGGAAAATAATGAATTTTGGAAGTCTGGAATGGTCATTTCCAGGGCCGTAACTAGACGCGATAATTGGAAATTGAGCAACCATATAATCATGTTCACATACCGTAAAAATTATCGCGTCTAGTTACGGCCCTGGTCATTTCCTGCGATTTCACGGTGAAATTTATCCAAAGGGAACAGAGAAAAATTTGTAATACCTTTTTAGAAAAAAATTGAAACTTTTTGAAATTCGTATTTCCATGAATTTTAATCATATATATTTAAACTTAACTGAAAATTCAGCTCAGTATATTCAAACGAAAGAGCAAAATACCATGTATATACACATTTTAAAACACTTCTGTAATATGATCTTTCAGTAGGAGTTGGGTAAGGTCAACAATTGATGTAGTGTACTGTGAATAATAAATATCTACATATACTTTATAAATCTAAAGCAGAAATTTAATGTTAAACCTTGTTTAGCTATTTGGTATATAATTTTCAAACTTTCATATAAGCGCTCGTGTTTCAATGCATAAAGCAGATGAACTGGTCGTAATTTAGGGTACATCATCTACAGTGCTCGCAGTTTGCTTAGTTTATGGTAGGAGAAATTAGACAAGATATAAAAATAGAAATATCATCAGAAGCAGGGGGGAGGGGGGGGAGAGGGGGGAAAGGGATGACTTACGGGGGAAGGATTTGTTATTGATGATACATGAACACAATGCTATACCAGCAACTTACAGTATTCCTTTTATTCCATTTTGTCAGATGAATAGAAACCAGAAATTAAAATTTCTTTAAAAACTCATTTAAGCTATACACTTTCGTTTCTATTTAATAATTAGTATTTTTGCCATTTCACCAATGGTTCGAGTCCTGCAGCGGAACGTACGTCACATTGGCTATAGAACCTCGTTTTCGTGGTGGAAACGCTTTAACTAATGTCCAGATACACTAAAACGAGGCTCTACAGTACTGGCGTGTTATGGGTTCAAGCCACGTGTAGGGCCAAGGATTTTTTTACAATAAAAACAAAGAAAATATATGCGCCCTATCTAACAATGACAAAATTGTCATTTAAGCTGGAGTTAAGGCGCAATTCCAGTCCTCGCACGAAGCTCCTCGCAGCTCGCTGCGAGTGCTTGCATATAATCAAAATTAACTCTTAATAAGCATTGTGATTGGATGAAAGTGCTCACGCAGCGAGGAGCTTCGTGCGAGGACTGGAATTGCGCCCTTACGCGAGCAACAAAATTGCTGCAACTTGCAACAAAATCTGATTTCAACGCATGTTAATTGAAAATGTTTACACATGTTTACACATAAATTACAAATCACAAGGCAACATGTGTTTACATTTCTACTTAACATGCGTTGAAATCAGATTTTGTTGCAAGTTGCAGCCATTTTGTTGCTCGTATAACTCCAGCTTTACAGTATCTGATTCGAGTTTCCACAATATTCAATAAAACATATCAAAGCAATTCTCATTATACTAATTAATGCAGTATACTGTACATACAAGAGCTTCAAAAGCCCTTTTCAGCGTAATCATTTCGTAGAGAATGCAACCTAATGCCCATATATCACTCTTTCTATTGTATCTGAATATAAGTTAAGTTCAAGATGAAAATTGAAAGGATAAAGCATTGACTAAAACGGGTAAAATAGATACGGTAAAAAGGATACGGTTGATTTTCACATAGTTCTGGAGAGATATACGAGGGAGTACCAATAACCTGAAAATAGTTAACAAGAAAATTCAAATTATAAATCAAATTATTGATCTATCCATCATTCAAACAGTTTAAATAATCAATGTTGATATATACAATGGAACGAATAATCAACTAATCAATATAATATTGATCTATCTTTCTTTCAATATACAGAATGTACGAAAAACGTATAATAGATAATTTCTAATTTCTTCAACACCAAAATACAATGAACACAATGAAAAAGCAATGAATAATATATACCGTGCACATTTAGCATATATGTACTCAGACGGTGGATATAGTGCTATTCGTGCAATTTGATATCTTTATTAATATCTTCCCGTTATGGCGGAGTTACAGACGAGCACATTTTTGTACTAAATGAAGCTGCAGTATCGCCAAACAAAGCCACAACGTTTTGTTTAACAGTGTGTACAGGTACTCTTTAAAAATATTTCTAACGAATTTTCCTCAGGAGTTGTAATACAAATCCTTGCACTATTCACCTCCACTGCTGTGAATGATTGTTAACCATAGACCCATTGCACATGACATCACAGCGCCGGTGACGATGCATCTGGACACAGAATAGAAAATAGACCAGAAGTCTCACTGTACACCTTTCCCTAACATTTTCGTGTCCGCGATTTTTGCCTTGCGGATCACGAATTTCGCACGCTAGATGACGTGTGTGACACTTGCTGCGAACATCACGTCAGCGTTCGTCAGCGTCAATTCCTCAAATCAACGGTTTTTCTTGAAATTCGCAAAACATGCTCAAAGTGTACGCTGCATATTCTGCAATTATTGTGCAAATATTTTACGCTTTTGTTTTTTACGTTGTGTCTTCCTGTTGCGATGACGCCAGGGGATTATTTGGACCAGGGGCATTTAAAAACGGTTAAAACAGCAATCTTTATTACCTAGTGATGGCAATTGATGGCGTTGCTCGCGTTTGATGGCGTCGTGATTACACTTGCTGGCTCGCGCATAAAAAATCTTTGACATAATTTTGGCTAAGTGAGGCTTCTGGACTATTTTCTATTCTGTGATCTGGAGAACAAATTAGCAATCTATGCATGATATAACTTTTGTAAACAAATCAAATTTTATAAAAGTTTATAATAATTTTGTATTAAAATGGTTAATTTTTGCGCTGAATGTGGTTGTTGTACCCGAACAGATATTGTTAGGGAGCATCTGGACGACACTCAAAGGATTTGTGACGTCAGTGCAATGGGTCATACAGTACAGTTATAGTAATGTGCGTTTCAAAATAGAAGATCTAAAATATACAGCCTAAAAATTGTACATTTGTTAATTCATTATACTGGGTGGAACGTCGATAACGGCTCTATATATAAGAGAGATGCAACCACCTAAAAATGTCGCCAGAACTTGCACGTTTCGAGCAAAGGCCTTCGAAGTTCTCTAACTTTCCGACCAAGGGTTTCGCTCGCTCGAAAAGTACGCATTACCAATCTTATACTATAACAATACAGCACGGCTGTCATTTATATTTTAATCAAAAGGCTTTCAAAACACAAAAAATCCATTATAGAAGATAAAAATACAACAGTGACTATTGTCAGTTTGTTCCTCGAAGAAGGCACTCGTAACTTTTGCGTAAAGGTACGAGTGTCTTTAGCTTGTTCAGTGGGTTAGTAAGTAAGTTGGTGGTGAAGCGTTAGTTTGCATGGAATTTTACTGTGACATGCTAATAATTGTACTCACAGAAACAGCCTTGCTTATGTTGGTGTTAAGTATCGTAGATATTCCAAAATCTCCAACTTTGACCACATCTAATGTCTTATTGAGGAAAATATTCGATGTTTTCATATCTCTATGTAGGATACGTTGTGAGTGAATAAAACTTAGCGATACAGCAATCTGCGAGAATAAATATAGGACTCTCTAAAAAAAGAAATAACTCATGCATTAGCAGATGTACATAAAACAAACCCCAATAGAGAAAAGCTTTACAGTATATAAAAGGCATGAGGGGAGTTTCACTCCATATCACAAAGTATCCGTAATTTGATTTGCCAAAATACTATTGATTACTGACTATTAATGAGGTTTTGACTAGTAAAAAGTAATTGTAGAAAATGAGACTCTATAGTTGACATTGATTTATCTAAACGCAGGGGTTTCAGAATAAGCCGGCGGCCGGCGGAGTTCCGCCGGCTACTTGAACTTTTACCGCCGGCTACTTTTCGTCATGTCACAGGGAAAATTTTATATACGTTATGTTATGTACAAGCGAACCAACACGATGTTTGTTATGTTCCAATTGGAATTCAAGCAAAACATCACTTATTCTGGAAGATCAATAAGATCAATAATACATAGTACCAAACATAGCTTGCTTTCTTAAGTTGCTGTCGAAAAAGCGATAATATAAACATTCTTTGTTTTCTCGTCGCCATCTTAAATTTCGCAGCAAATGGTCAGCGGCTCTGAATCTTCCTGAACAGGAAGATGACTCTGATTGACTCTGGCAGTGACTTAAGCATTGGGGAATCCGAATTTGACAGTGAGCCAGAGAACGAGTCAGATTCAGAGCTACTTTAGCAAATGTTTTTCTAGTGACTAATTCTTTGACAGTGAACTAATTATGATAAAGTGATGAAGTAAATTCATTAGTACGTACATTAGTATAACATCATTTGATTAACAATTTCGGATTCATAAATTAATACTAATAGTGTACGTTGTCATTCTCTTCATGCAGCTGTAAAAATTAAACTACTAGTAGCACATTAAAGTACACTGTCACTTACAAGTATAAATGCAAATGACATCTAAATCTAACAAGTCAACAGTTGTACTTTGTCTCTTTAGTTTTTCTATATTATTTGACTGTTAAGGCCCATTTACACGAGCGATTGTTGCTGCGATTTTAGTTGCGATTTTCTCCTTTTGGAGGATATGAAGGAGTAGATTACTTAATGACGTTGTTATGAAATTTCACAACCTGGAACATTTATAACTTATCCACTCCTTCACATCCATCAGAAGAAGAAAATCGCCCTAAAATCGCAGCAAAAATCGCCCGTGTAAACGGGCCTTTAATGGACCAATCCCCAATTAACCAAAACTTTGAACTCAACAAGTATAGACAAACATTTCATCACAGCTTGAAAGAGCACCACAAAATTAGTAATATTCCAAAGTTTCGTTACAAAATGTTGTAAAATGCGGATTGTATAGCCTTGGGAAGTTTTCTATTTTCAGTCATTTTGTATTACAAACTGGAAATGGTTACCACTTCTGTGCGTAATACAAAATGACTGAAAATTACAAACTTCCCAAGGATATATTATCCGCATTTTACAAAATTTCGCAACGATACTTGGGAATATTACTAATTTTGTGATGCTCTTTCATGCTATGATGGAATTTTGTCTGGACTTGTTAAGATCAAAATTTTGGTTAAGTGGGGATTGGTCCGTTTGCGGCGAAATTTTTTTAAATTTCCATGCGAGGGCACGCCCCCCTCCCCGCGCGAATTTTTAACTTTCAGTCACAACCGGCTACTTTTTTGGTACAGCCGCCTACTTCAAATCATTCTGAAACCCCTGTAAACGCGATTTACCTGCCAACGGGTGGCCTTCGGAAGGAAAGATAAATGTAATTGACACCGTCCGTAATAGAGAGGTGTCCGTAATAGAGAGATGTCCGTATTAGAGAGATGTCCGTATTAGAGAGATGTCCGTAATATAGAGATGTCCGTCATACAGAGATGTCCGTAATACAGAGATGTCCGTTTTAGAGAGATGTCCGTATTAGAGAGATGTCCGTATTAGAGAGATATCCGTAATAGAGAGATGTCCATATTAGAGAGATGTCCGTAATAGAGAGGTGTCCGTAATAGAGAGATGTCTGTATTAGGGAGATGTTCATAATAGAGAGATGTCCGTAATGAGAGATGTCCGTAATAGAGACATGTCCGTATTAGAGAGATGTCCGTATTAGAGAGATGTCCGTAATATAGAGATGACCGTCATACAGATATGTCCGTAATACAGAGATGTCCGTAATAGAGAGATGTCCATATTAGAGAGATGTCCGTAATAGAGAGGTGTCCGTAATAGAGAGATGTCTGTATTAGGGAGATGTCCATAATAGAGAGATGTCCATAATAGAGAGATGTCCGTAATAGAGACATGTCTGTATTAGAGAGATGTCCGTAATAGAGACATGTCTGTATTAGAGAGATGTCCGTAATAGAGAGATGTCTGTATTAGGGAGATGTCCATAATAGAGAGATGTCCATAATAGAGAGATGTCCGTAATAGAGACATGTCTGTATTAGAGAGATGTCCGTAATAGAGACATGTCTGTATTAGAGAGATGTCCGTAATAGAGAGATGTCTGTATTAGGGAGATGTCCATAATAGAGAGATGTCCATAATAGAGAGATGTCCGTAATAGAGACATGTCTGTATTAGAGAGATGTCCGTAATAGAGACATGTCTGTATTAGAGAGATGTCCGTAATAGAGAGATGTCTGTATTAGGGAGATGTCCATAATAGAGAGATGTCCATAATAGAGAGATGTCCGTAATAGAGACATGTCTGTATTAGAGAGATGTCCGTAATAGAGACATGTCTGTATTAGAGAGATGTCCGTAATAGAGAGATGTCTGTATTAGGGAGATGTCCATAATAGAGAGATGTCCATAATAGAGAGATGTCCGTAATAGAGATATGTCTGTATTAGAGAGATGTCCGTATTAGAGGGATGTCCGTAATAGAGAGATGTCAGTAATAGAGATATGTCTGTATTAGAGAGATGTCCGTATTAGAGAGATGTCCGTAATAGAGGGAAGTCCGTAATAGAGGGAAGTCCGTAATAGAGAGATGTCAGTAATAGAGAGATGTCCGTAATTAAGAGATGTCCGCATTAGCGAGATGTCAGTATTAGAGAGATGTCCACAATAGAGAGATGTCAGACACAGATATATCAGATACAGATCGGCTGCTCATGTTTTATCTAGTACTTAAAATTTGAAGGAGGGATTACGTTTACCTTTTCACTTATTGTTTTTCCTTTTGATTTCCGTTTGTGAATGAAATCCAACAGCGTTCCCCCTGCAATTCGGTAAAATAGTTATTATATGTTTAAACAAGTGGCTGCTATATATATATATATATATATATATATATATATATATATATATATATATATATATATATATATATATATATATATATATATATATATATATATATATGTATATATATAATAGTCTGTGTTAGGTTATAAAAAACAATGATAGAGTGCTCAATGGATAACCAGAGCATAATAGAAAGACACAAAAACTTAGCAAGCTTTGTTTGGCATATTTATTACTATACAGTTTCGTACCACGTAAATAACGTGGCACTCTGTATAGTAATAAATATGCCAAACAAAGCTTGCTAAGTTTTTGTGTCTTTCTATTATGCTCTGGTTATCCATTGAGCACTCTATCATTGGTTTTTATAGCCGTACACAAACTATTTTATATATATATATATATATATATATATATATATATATATATATATATATATATATATATATATATATATATATATATATATATATATATATATATATATATATAATATAATATATATATATATATATATATAATATATAGCTTAAGATTTTGGTTTACGAAACACAAACAGTGCTCAATACCATATAGATAGAGCGTAATATAGTTTTTCGTTTTACCTCAAAAAACCACAACAGTCTGTTAACACGAACATAGGACGGGAATTCTTAAGTTTAATTGACAAACACTTCCCACTACAGCACAAACTACACAAGATTTTCAACAGAAACACTTTAAAAGTAAGCTACAGTTGCATGAACAACGTTAAGTCTATAATCACCAAACACAACGGACATATAATTAGGAACAGTCAATCACAGAATACGGAAACTGACAACTGTAACTGCGACAACAAAAACACTTGCCCACTACCGAAACAATGTATGACCAACAACATTATTTACAAAGCCACAGTCACAACGAACAACACGAACGACACTAAACACTACATTGGTATGACAGCGACTACATTTAAGGAACCCTACGCTAACCACACTTCATCTTTTCGTCATAAAAAAGACTCAAACAAAACGGAACTTTCGAAACATATTTGGAAATTAAAAGAGAACAATCAGGATTATACCATCAAATGGTCAATTTTAAAACACGCTATTTCGTACACAGGGGCAGTGCCTTTTTTAACTA